CACATAAATATACTCGAATCCTCTGGGTGCTCGCTTTAAGGGTCCCACCATATCTAGCCCCCAGCAAGAGAAGGGCCATGATGGAGGGATACATGTCAGACTATGCGTGGGTACATGAGCTTGCGCGGCGAAGAATTGGCGTGGCTTGCAACGACGAACCAACTCCTCGGCATCTTTTGAGAGCTGTAGGCCAATAGCAGCCGGACATGAAAGCTTTACCAACTAAAGTTTTGGACGCAACATGATTACCACAACACCCAGCATGGACTTCTTTAAGAATTTCTTTGCCCTCTTTAGATGAGATGTACTTCAAAAGGACGCTAGAGGAAGCACCTCTACGATATAGCATATCACCGACTAAGACATAATTCTTGCTCCGCCTGGTGACTTGCTCTACTTCAACTTTGTCGGGTGCAGCTCATGTTCTTTGATATAATCAATATAGACTTGGGTCCAGGCTGGATTGATTATCAAAACTTCTATGTATGGCATTGGTGTATCACTCGAGTGATCTGTCTCCTCCTTGATCGATGAATGAGCAAGTTCTTGAACAAAAATACCACTCAGAACTGTAGCTCTGTCAAAACCCAGCTTGGCTAACACATCTACTACAACATTGAGATCTCACACCACATGATGGAATTCGAGACCTTGAAAGTGCTTCTCAAGCTTGCGTACTTTGGGACAGTAAGCCTCCGTGGTTTCCTTAGTACAATCCCAATCTTTATTGACGATTGATGATTGCCGAGGAGTCGCCATAGACAAGGAGGCGCTTCATGCCAAGGGTAACTACTAGGCGCAAACCATGAAGAAGGGCAATGAAAGTCATCGATGTTCCGGGGCCAGCTCCTGCAAAAATCCTGATACTGCCAGCACTCCAGAATTCCATCAGAGAAGAATTCAATTACGTCATAGTCGGATACATCAGAGACTGTTGAGCGTTTCTCAGAAAAACGCCGGTAATATTCACAGAGCGACTCATTAGGTTGCTATTTGCAATTTCTGAGCTCGTTACGAGTACTCGGACGAACACCAGCGAAGTTTTCGGCAAACATTGCCTTGAGGTCCTCCCAGCTATCAACCGAGCCAAGACGAAGCTTGTTCAACCATTGAAGCGGAACAGACTCGAGTGCCATCGGGAAAAAGAGAGCCTTGATGTCGCTGCTCCCCCTGCCAGATTGCATGCTGTAGAGTAGATGTCCAGCCACTGCCATGACTCTGTCTTCCCATCATACTTAATAATTGGAAGGTTTGAATTTGTGAGGGAGCGGAACAGCCTTGAGCCTGTCGGAGAAGCAAGGAAAACCATCGATAACATCCAACCCTGTATGCAGCCTTCTCTATGACTGAGACGATTGCGCAAGTCACCCGGGTTCAGATGAGGGTTGTTCCTGTTAGCCAATTGACCTGGGTGCTTGATCTGCGTCCTGATCGGAGACGCCCAACCGTTCCATGGTTGGTGGGCCCCTGTCGCACAGCGCCATAAAAAAGAGAGGTGGGGGCCGGGCACAAGGCACGAGGTTCACCTGAGCCGCCAGACACCCCACTTATAGTCCCTAAACCCTAACTGATCTAAGAGGGGGTGTTGCCAGCGACGGGAAAACCGCCACCGGCCACCGCCGCCTCTGCACCATCGCTACCGCGACAGCGTCTTTACCGTTGGGCTTCACCGCGCCACCGACGAGCAACCTCATGACCAGCTCGTCTTCTACAAAGACGGCCGATGATTTACAAATCCGTAATCTCTCTCTCTCCCTCTTTCTCTCTGTTTTTCGTTTTAGTTTATGTTCTAAGGACTACACTTCATCAAATGTAGGTACGCTAGATCTAACTTTCTTTGAGTTCCGACTACCCCTCTGTTGATTGGCCTGACTCCCGAGACGCTAAGAGGCAGGATGCCTTTGTTCTTATAGAGTAGGATTCTGAACTGCTGTGAGGCAGGATGCCTTTGTTCTTATAGAGTAGGATTCTGAACTGAAGTGGGATTTCTCCCATTAAGCTGCAATAGAGCAGATTGTAGGCGCGAACCGCTCATCATCTGGATGGGGATTAGACTTGGTGGCAAGAGCATTTTCCACAGCCATAATTTCTCGTATGGAGTGGTATACACATTATGACCTGAAACTTGAATGAATTCAGGATCCAAGTTACGTGAGACACCTTGCCGAGCTCACTCACGATCACGATTAGCATTGCTATGATTCTGAGTATTCGCGACGCGATCTCTTTCTGCCTCATCTTCAAGTTGTCTCCGCGCAAGTTCATCTTCGTATTCCTTGAGAGCAGCCTGCTAGCGCCGCATGGCTTCCTTGCGATGCTCTGCATGGTGCTTGCGTGCTACCTTGGTTCTGTTCTTCTTCAGATGCGCTGCTTTGTCTTGTTCAGATTCTCTGACTACTTCTAGATCTTCATCTGAGACCTCACTCGGAGTTTCATCTTCTGGAAGAACGTCTGGTCTCTCGGGTGGTAGCAAAGGTTGGCGCATCATGAAGAGCTCTCGGCTATGAGAATAGCAGAGAGATTTGTTTCAGATTCGGCAGTATCAGCACTATGAAGAATTTCTGTAGACCCTAGACCCCCTCAGAGGTTGGAAGTGGTGAACCGACTTGGAACAGAAGCTAGGACAAAGTGCTGACTACCCGGGAGGATGGCATGATCCAGAGTGGCTAGTGTACAATGTTGCCTTCGGGTATAGATGTGAATACCAGGCCGTGCTGTGCACCAACCAAGGGAATCTATTGATCATATCTTGTCATGCCCAAGCTTGACTCTTGATAGATGGAGGCTGAATTCCGTAATCCGTATGGGAGTCGAAGTAGGGCACTAGAGGCAAAGTCCGAATAAGACTCGAACTTGTCGGGAATTTTCTGAATCTGAGTAGAATCAGAAATAATAAAATCTTGAATCTTCTCGATGAAATCATCCAGCGCATCCTTAGATTGAGCTGGAAAAGCTTGCACTTCTGGAATCTCCATTAGGCGGCCTTGAAGCGTACCGCTATCGTCTGCCATGCAGACCCATGAGCCAAAAACGAACTCGAAACCCGGCAAGAAAATCACGCTGATGACGAGGTCCGTCGAACTCTCGATGGCAAATTTGCCAAAAGTCCCTACCTGGCGCGTTAGTTATCGGTGTTTGATGACCAACAACTTGTTACGGGGTTACCCGAGGCAAAGTTTGGTGGGCTTCGGCGTATGCAGAACTCGACGGTAAACACAAAGACAAGCGATTTATATTGGTTCAGATCCTCATGATCGAGTAATAGCCTTACGTCCAGTGCGGCATGGTGCCTTTGCGTTGGATTGAACGATTGAGGTGATGTACAAGGGATGCTGCCTGCCTCTCTTTATATAGTCCAAAGGGCAAGGCGGTTGTTCTAGTGCTAGTCGGTTACAATTTGAGAGTTCTAGTTCTATAACAGAGACTAATTTCCCTAAGCATGTGTTTGGTTTGAGGGTCCAACTGGGTTTGGGTTGAGGTGGACCCATTTTTACGAGTGTTTGGTTTGAAGAGGTGTGGGTTGGGTTCAGCCCATAGAGGGAATATTCCACTGAGATCCGGGTTCATCCGATTCCACCAAAACAAGCGGATGGGTTCGACCAGTTGCGTGCAGCACGTCTCGCGTGCGATCATGGTGCTACGACGGGGCGACGCTTGCGGCTAGGCCGAGCAACGGTGGTCGGAGCAAGCCAAGGAGCGACGGTGGGGTTGGCGCCAGCGGCCGGGTCGAGCAGTTGTGGACTGACAAGTAGCGACAGGAACGACACTCGTGGCTGTGCCAAGCGGCGGCGGGGGCATGTGCTCGCGGCCGGGCCGAGGAACGGCGGTGGTGGCGGCACTCGTGGCTAGGTCGAGCAGCGTTGCGTGCGGCCTTGGAGCTGCGGCGGGGTCAGCGCTCGCGGCTAGGCCGAGCGGCGGCGACGGCCTCAAAGAGAGGAGCGGCGTGCGGCCTCAACGAGCTCGCGAGTAGGAGCAGCACGAGACAGAGGTAGAAGAAGGAGTTGAGAGGCTGCGACGTGGACCCCATCAGTAAGTGACACATCCCACTACACAAAACCTGTACAACAAAACACAGAACTGGGTTCAACCCAACCTCCTAAACCAAACATAGAACTGGGTTCGCCCCATCCCAAAAATCAGGGTTGGATTCGGCCCAACCCTGGTGATCCCACAACCAAACACATGCTAAGTATCCGACTAGGTCGGTCCTTGAGTACTTGGTGATCACGCCACCTTGCTCCATGTTCACCAAGCAGACCTTGGGCCGGCCTAGGATTATACCGAGTAATCGGCCCATTGGGGAACCTATAGGATCCTAATTCGTCACATGGCTCCAGTCCCAGCTCGCCATGATCACCCCTGCCCTTGCTCACCATGGCTCTGACCCCGCCCATTACTGATGTGTCCTTCGTTGTTGGCCTCATCCTCGCTTGACATGTTCGCTGCTGCTGCCCCTGCATATGCCACCCGACTATCGGTGCCCCGTCTGTCGCGACGTGAAGAAGAGGAAGCACAAACAGAAACTCATGGCGTCGAAGTGGGACAAGATAGTCCGCTCAATTTTGGGACGAGGTAGACCCAAATCTAGAGAGAATATTCCCCTTTTAGGGTGTCCCTAACCAAACACCTAGATAAAGTAGGAGATCTCACCTTGTCCTTGTGCCGCCCCCAAAGCATACACCAAGTTTCTTTCACGTAAATAGTTATTTTATTAACAAAAAAACTACAAAAAAGCATTGGCAAGTTTCAAATGTATCCTAGCCCATTTTCTGGAGATGGCCCAGCCCAACTATGAACGTTTGACAATTATGGAGCAAAGGAAAGCCCGGCGCCCCCATCCAAAATAAAATGGAAATGCTCCACTAGCTTTTGAAGGCTTGATGATGCTAAGGCCCACTACTTGAAACTGACAGTGCGTGGCAAACTCCACGCCTCGGGAAAATGAGGATTGATGAAGAAAACAAACAGGGGCAACAGCAACACATCGAAGCGATAAGGCCATGGCCATGGCCACCGAAGGCAATTTCTACCTCACGCTTCAAAGCAGCATCGGCTGCTGCTTTTCACCGCCGCTGCAGTGCCACGGCTCACGGTGCGCCTCGCACGCACTCCCAATGGCACCCGGCGATGGCGGCATCAGAGCCTCCTCGCCAGACCTCCCATCAGCCCGGCCAAAACTCACAAATTCGACGAGAAGACCACGCGCTTATTCCGCTGCCGGTGCGCTACCGAGACTCCCACGGCCTCCGTCGATCAGACGCGGAGCCGGGGCGGTAGCATGCGTCCGCGGAAGCGAGCAGCAATCCTCCCCTGCCGTCGCGGCAAAGGCGCGGCCCGAGCCCGACACGCTTAACGTCGAGTTCCGGACGCGGGACGGCTGCCGGCTCGGCATCGCCAGGTACCCGGACTTCGCGTACAACGCGCAGGGCGGCCGCGGCGTGGGCGCCGGGCGCGGAGCGAAGAGCGGGGAGGATGGCACGGTACTCGTCGACTTCGACGTGGCGACCCTGTACATCCCATCCATGTCCGGCGCGACGACCAGGTTCCTCGGGCTGCCGCTACCGCCGTTCCACTGGTCAGGTAAACGTGCGTCTCCTGCGGTCCTGTCTTATCTGCATCCACGCAAGACTAGTTTTTACCTCATATTTATTTCTTCTTTGTTCTTCTTCTTTCTAAAGAGCAATAGAAGATTAATTCCGTGGTCTAATTAGTACTTAGTACCAGAACTCAGAATATGTGACGAACAAGATCAGAAGTCTCAATGAAATGCTATTGACAAGCATTGTGCTTTATGTTCCTTTTGAAGGTTGATCTCAAGTTCAGGTCGAGGTTCTGCTTCTCGGTTGGGAGCGTCTACAAAGCGCCGCCGTTGTTCGTCGAGACAACACTGACCTCTGAGGAGTCGAGGGGAGCCATAAGATCCGGCACTGGGGAAAGAATGGACGAAGAAGGGAGATGCAAGCTGGTTGGGGTGGCCGTCGTTGACCCAGTTGACGACCTCTTCATGAACACATTTCTCAGCCTGTCGACCGAGTGCATTGCTTACTTGAATGCCACCATTTCCATAGCCACAGAGAGATGATCGTGCTTATTGCTGGTCTACATTGCAAATACGCACGCAAGTTTCTTTTCTTGTAAAGATTTAGCCAAGGCTTGGCCATATGGCTCCATCCATGCTCCAATTCAAACGGGAAGCCTGAAGTACACCACCATCGATCATCATCGCTAGCCCATTGGCATTGTTGGGGTGTATCATAAGTCAGCGAATCCCATGTATCTAAAAAGAGCATATGTATAAACATCTAAGCGTCTAATTATAAGAGTCAGATTTTTAATTTTGGTATTAGAATTTTTTGGGCCACCCCAAAATTCATGAAATTTAGACGAAATTTCGCCAAAACTTTTTAGAGACTTAAACATGAAGTATATTTTCCAAAAATAAATCTAACAAAAATATTAGAATGATTTATGACACACACCTATTGAGTAGAATAATATGCAACATAAACAATAGAAATTTGTGGCTAGAGTTATATAGCACATATAAATATTAATATAATGCGAAATTTTGGAATTTTCTTTCGGCCAAACCCCAAAATTATCAAAATTCGCTAAATTTTGGCAAAAGCGCCGAAATTTTGAACCCTACTAACGACTTACTCGCAAATATCAACCCCACCAACCATCTTTCCCTATAAACAGAGTCCTAGAGCTCAATGGAGGGGATTTTGTGTCCTCTCACTCTTCTTCTGTCTGTTAGGGTGATCACCAACAGATAGCGCCCACCATGCTCCGCTCGCCGGCTCACGTAAATCATTTTTTTTTAGAGAAGGAATTCACGAGGAGAGCTGCAATTTATTTGGTTTTCGTCCATGCCTACATCGCCAGCTCAGTTGGAACCATCAGATGAAATGGCTACCAGCCAAAGACTTCAACATCTCGAGCGAACAGAAGGGTTTAGTTGGTCCTTGGTTTTAGAGTTTTGTTGCCTCTAGGTTTTTCAAATAAGTTGTCTCATCTTGACTTCGTAAACATTTCACAAATAGTACGTCTAACAAAGAGAGCACAAACAATCTGACCTCTAACATGAGGTCGAGTGACGAGATGAAATCAACAACCTGCGCAACCGTGGTTGCACCGCCCGCAACAACATCCAGCAAGACAGGGAAGATGTTGTCATCTACTCTCGAGCAAGCCAGAACATTTCCTCATCGTAAAGCTCGGATCTTTATGATCTCATCACAAAGCTCGGATCCTCATTGAATGAGGGGTCGCTCAAGCTGATGAGAGTTCAACTAGTTTTCGGACCAGATCGACAACTACTCAAAGTCGGTGCCCACGCCACGACACCTTGGTCTAGCACAACTCAACATCATGATAGGACTCCTACAAGAGGTCCATCGATGTATCGGGGAAAACCATAACGCCTGTGATATGATCAACGTCTGAGACAATGCCTACGACAACCTCGAGTAGGAACGCCGCCAGGAAGACAAAGCCATGAACAACGTAGGGCAACCCATGATGACGACGAGTCTGTTAGATAATCTGCTGCTACCTTGTATGAACACACAGCAAGGGAAGGCGGTGCCGTAAAGGTACCCTGTTGTGTGTACTGTAGCCGTTGCAGGGGCAGGGGCAGGCGCCGAACGGCTCACCTGTCACACTGTAGCCACATGCAGAGACAGGCGCAGAAGTCAGTCCTGCTGTGTTATCTCATCACTGTTACAACATGGAAGTTGTACTAGGTCTAGATGGATAGAGTTGTATAAATAGTTTGCCACTGCAACTCAGTAAAGAGAGTTCAGATTTGCCATCTCCTATACAGGGCTCCGCCCAACGCTGGTGCATGTATTATGTGTGTGCTCTGTTCTCCCTCTCATCTTCTACCTCTAGCCATAGAGTGTGGTTGGACAGCGTCTGTCGTGCTCGGCCGTGGTCGGTAAGACTGGTGAGTGGTCGACTCACCTGAGCCAGTGATCTAGTGGGCCAACAAGTGGTATCAGAGCCGTACAAGCGTCGTCGCCGGACTAACCATTGGCGATGACGCACGGTTCGGAGATGGGTGACAGCAGTGGCACTGCTGTGGCTGCCCAGCCACGATAGAAGGTCATTGTTCGCACGGTGCTGGAGGTCAGTGGCACCAGTTGGCCGACACTGACTCGCACCAACTATGGAGAGTGGTTGGTGACCATGAAGGTCAAGCTCAAAGCCTGACGACTCTAGAATACTGTTGACAAGGGCACCGAAAATGAAGAAGATGATATGTCAGCGTTGGAGGCTATCCTCGCTGCTGTACCGGCAGAGTACAGGGAGCCATTGGGGGCGAAGAGCTCTGCTAAGGAGGCGTGGGAGGCTATTACGGCGATGCATGTTGGTTCCGACCGTGCAAAGAAGGTGACGACCCAGCTTCTAAAGCAGGAGTATGCAAACATCAAGTTCAAGGATGGTGAAACAGTGGAGAATTTCTCCCTCTGCATGTAGACGCTCATCAGCAAACTGAAGAGCCACGGCGTCACCATCGATGAAGAGAAGGCGATCTCCATGTACCTCCACTCTGTGCCGACAAAGTACATCCAGATCGCTCTCTCCATAGAGACGATGCTAGACTTGTCCACCCTCATGATTGAGGATGTGATAGGCCATCTGCGGGTGGTGGACGAGCACCTAGAGCAGGTGACAGCAACGAAGGATAGCGACAAACTGCTACTGACATAGGAGGAGTGGGCTGCTCGGAGGAACTCCGGGGTAGCCTCCTCCAGCCGCTGTGGCGATGGCAAGCGCCGCAGCAATGCTTCTTCGGAGAGGAAGAAGCAGGTCGACCCCAACGCCTGCCGGCGCTACGGGAAGATGGGTCATTGGGCACGGGAGTGCCCGAATCGTAAGCAGAAGAAGAAGGCTGAAGCTCATCAGGCGCAAGCTAATGATAAGGATGAGGCCACTATCCTGATAGCGACGTTCTGTGCACTGCACAACGTCGAGGTCAAGGAGAAGGGAGAGGTGACGACGGTGGAAGGGCCTAGGAAGGTCCTAAAGGCTGTCAACCTCAACGAACCACGCGCCCAAGTCCACCTCGGACATGTTGGCGCCGACCAGGAGTAGCAGTGGTACCTGGACTCTGGTGCCAGCAACCACATGACGGGCTCTAAGACAACCTTCTCTGAGCTCAACGACGATGTTACCGGTATGGTGAAGTTTGGTGACGGCTCAAGGGTGGCTATCCGAGGGCGCGGCACCATCATCTTTAGGTGATAGAATGGGGAGCACCGCGCGCTAACGGATGTATATTACATCCCGCAGCTGCGTTCGAGCATCATCAGCATTGGTCAGCTGGATGAGCGTGGGAGCGAGGTACTGATCAAGAACGGAGTCCTTAGGATCAAGGACCGGGAGCAGTGACTTCTTACCAAGGTGAAGAGGTCCTAGAACTGGTTGTACCTGCTTGACTTGAAGGTAGAGTAGTCGGTGTGCCTGGTGGCAAGGCACACCGAGGAGCCGTGGCTGTGGCATGCCTAGTTCGGACATCTCAGCTTCGACACGCTTGGTCGGCTGGAGAAGATGGTCCGAGGGCTACCCCACATCGAGCACGGAGGCGAGCTGTGTGATAGCTACCTAGCCAGGAAGTAGAGGAGACTGTCGTTTCCAAAGGCGGCCAAGTATCGCTCGTCGGACGCGCTCGAGCTCGTCCACGGCGACCTCTACGGGCCGATCACACCAGCCACAAACGGTGGTCGGTGGTACTTTCTCTTGCTCATGGATGATTGCAATCGCTACATGTGGCTGCAACTCCTGATAAGCAAGGACAAAGCAGCAGTGGCGATCAAGAAGTTCAAGATGCGCGCGGAAACCGAGAGCGGCAAGAAGCTCCACGTGCTGAGGACTGATCAGGGCAGCGAATTCACTTCGATGGAGTTCGCTGTGTACTGCATGGATCAGGGTGTGGTGCGACACCACACCGTGCCATACTTGCCACAACAGAATGGCATGGTGGAGCGATGGAACCATACGGTGGTCGGCATGGCTCAATCCATGATGAAGGCCAAGGGAATGCCGGTAAGGTTCTAGGGTGAGGCGGTGACCACGGTGGTGTTCATCCTCAACCGCACTCCCACCAAGGCCCTGAAGGGCAAGACGCCGTTCGAGGCTTGGCATGGACGCAAGCCGAGCTTGTCCTTCCTCCGGACATTCAGCTGCATCGGCCACGTCAGGAAGATGAAGTCGATCCTCACAAAGCTGGAGGATAGGAGCACACCGATGGTGTTCCTAGGCTATGCGAAGGGTACCAAGGCATACCGGCTCTACGACCCACATGGAGACAAGGTGCTTGTCTCGCGCGACGTTGTGTTCGATGAGAAGGCGGCTTGGGACTAGAACAGTCCGAGCACGGGGGAAGCTGATTGCTTCACCAGCACCTTCATCGTCGAGCACTTGGTCATCCACGGTGGTGGAGATGCTAGGGAAGAGGTGCCAAGCACACCAGGAGGGGTGCCGAGCACTCCAGCAACAGAGCCGAGCACTCCTAGGGCAGTGCCGAGCACTCCGGGAGGAGTGCCGAGCACTCTTGGAGGGATGTCGAGCACACCAGGTGTCGGGTTCATAAACCCGGGGACCCTCATGGACCAACTTCCCAGCAAAGGCTTGGCCCAGCAGACGACATCGCGAACAACGCACAACTCCTAGGCCGGCCCAAAAACCTAACGACAGGCCAAAAGGACGATCCAGTCTTTGACCGGAGGGCCTAGCCAAGGACGAATGGCGCTCGCTCGCCTCCGACTCTAGCCCGCCTCTCCAACCGGAAGGCCTCGCTTCCGACTCTAGCCCGCCTCCCCGACCGGAAGGCCAAGCTAAGGAGGAACGACGCCCGCTTTCGACTCTGACCCGCGTCTCCGACCGGGGATACATCGAACCTCTACTTATAGCTCTTCTCCAACTGACATAGTCGGAGCCGACTAGGACTATCCAACTGGGGATGCCCACTCGGTGAGGACTAGGAAATGGGTGAAGCAAGTAAGACAGGGCGCTCAAGTCAACCGCAATACCGAGGACCGTACCCAGTACACCTACAGGACAGTACCGACAAGG